ACGCGTTTACCTTGTTGTTATTTGTGCCGTTGGCTGAGTTATTTCGGATGCTCCGACCCGAACATTTCCACGTGATCCGAACATTTTCACATGGTCCGAACCATTTTTTTCGCCATGGCTAGGGTACTAGAAAAATAGCTAGTGACGTCACTTAGTCACTGGACGACGTATTATTCACACCTTTTTATATGCATATTTCATTCGTTGACTTACAGCATTGTAACCATGCCATGTTAATTTAAGTGATTGCCAATAATAATACAACTCTATAAAGATTTAAATAAATCTCAAGACTATCAAAATCAATCATTAAGCGAATAGCACTCGGTCAACTTGATAGATTGTGGTCGTGCGTGCAATTATTAATCAAAAGATAAAATTGCTAAATTTTAGAACAAAGTAAATAAGCCGCTTATTATTATTTAGTTAATTTTTATTTAGTAAATTTTAATTGTAATCGCATTTAATAAAAGAAAAAGAATAAGTTCACACTAGTACGTTGTATATATTTGGTTCATAATTATGAAATTTACATGCTTTTTGTTAAAAATTTTTTTTACAGCGAGTTAAGACAATGTAACATAACGTTTAACAGCTTAAATTTTGTTTTGCGTATTTGTTTTTCGAAAACGTCTTCTTGCAAGAATGTGTATAAAACGAGTAAATATAAAACTTAATTAACGTTGTTATTTTTGTTACTTTTGTCCAAAAACATCAGACAAAAATAAGCGTCATATTATTGCCTCCATTACGAAAACAAAAGAACCCGTAAGCATTTAGCAAGTGCTTCATGCTCTCTTCTCGATATCGGCTTAATAGTTTATAAAAGTGTGACGATTACGGAGAAGTAAACCGTCGTAAAACCCACTACCGAGCGATTCAAATTCTTTCCGGCTTCTATCTTCGTTTCTATTGTTTTCGATAATTGCTGTTGAATAAAATTTTTGCTTTTATTAGTACGTTGCCATGTGTTCAGAAGGTTTTTTATAAGTTTGAATAAAAAAGACAGAATACGTAGTGAAAGAAAATAAAATTTTCCGGAATGCCGTACCTTTTTGCAATCATTTAACGCACGAGTAGAATTTGGCATCGTGGCCATGTGAGGTGTTAAAGACATAGTTTGTTTTTTCTTGTTTCTTATGAGGAGGCGGTGGAGGACTTGGTTTTTTGCCTCATGACTGTCGAAGAAGATTTCCTCCTTTATATAGAAATTATCCAGTCCCGTAATTTGTATTAGTTAATCTAATTTATTATGACTGCATCGGGCTACCACTTGCATCAATGCCTCTTCCCATTCATAAACAATAAAAGGTCGTCCATGCAACGTCTTTCTGCGGATTATGCCTCATTTAAATATTATTCATGTTCCTTGCGTATATTAACCCCTTGTTACCTAAATCAATTAATGACAAGACAAAGAGGTCATTCCAAGCTTATACAGGAAACTCATACGACATGATAGCTAAATTCTCTACCGATAGCCTTCAACAGGCCTCAAAATTGCCCAGTAGACCATACTCCATATCGAAAATCTATGTAGTCTGTGCAACGATTCAAGTATCGTTATGAAGCCGTCCTAACACGCATTATATACAAGTTTTCGTGTACATTAACACTTTACAGCAGTATCTGCTTTCACGTACACTGTCCAAATTCTTTCGCGGCTGGAACTTCCTATTCCATGGCCGAGGGTCTTCTTCACTCCGAACGGTCATATTATTTAGCCTGGTATTTGGAGTAATCATCGGTAGTAGTAATACAAGATATCATAACCATTCATAGCAATGATTCGATAGACAAGGAAAAAAGGGGCACAATTAGAACAAAGACCGTGTGGGTGCAACCGCGCGTCTAGATTTCCACAATTTGGGTAGTAGGCGTTGTTTCACGTCTATACCTTTGTTTACAGGGATTGGGATTTTGATGAGCGAGTTAATTACTAGTTTGTGGCCGTGTATGTTATAAATGGTGATAAAATGTTTAATATTAAATTAATTAGAATCTTAATTTAGTAATTGATCAAGTATCGCAATATTCAGTAATACCCCTCTTTGTATGCAATCGGTGATCGTTAATATATCACCAGCCTTTCTCTCTTTTTTTACGAGTTCTTTATTTCAATAAATGTGTCGTTAATGGGACTATTTCGTTAAGATGATTGGATGCCATGTCTATTAAATGCATGGGGACATTCAGCCAACTGCGTAGCCGATACAATGTTTACTAGGTAATTGGTTCGCATTTGGAAAAGAGAAAACCGTGATGTTGCTCTTCTGAGCAGAGCCATGACGTTACCGTTCGACTTGATTAAAACACTCTTCATATGAATTTCATATTTCTGCTATAATCTTTGTTGCCGTAATTTATTTTTATTATTTCGTAGTGCTCTCATATACAGGCTATGGAATTTTAACGGTGGGTCGACGATGCTTTTTCTGCTTTCCCAATTCCATGTTTTAATCTTAATGGCTTCCTCGTTTGTCATTCAGCTGAAAAAGAAACAACCAAGGGCTAAGTATGGAATTTAATTATCTTACTGAATCCATCACTATCCACATCTCGTTGCTTAATCTAATTATACCGTTTGATTATAATAAATGTCCCAACTCACCGTTTGACAAATTTGTGTTATTTTCCCATATAAATCCTTTACCAAGTTCATCGCTTGCTCCACACGGATTTTCTTTCAACACTTGATAAATTACGGAAATGGTCATAATACGGTCAGTTAGACAAATACTCTATAATTTTTCGACTGACCCTGGCTATATATATATTGTATATGTTTGTGTCCGAGATTGGAAACAGACCCCAACTGAGGACATACTGAATTTAATCTACTTCGCGCGAACGGTCACGTAAAGCAAAAGACATCGGAACCTTTAGAAGTGATCGACTAAAATGTATTACAAAGTAGGTATCTACAAGCAGAATTATCATTGCTTGTGTCATCAGTTTCCTGTCTGGTTTTTGAATTTACGTATCGTTTAATTGCCTCAACCACGAACGCATCCACCGCATTTCGTCCACTAAAATAAAAATTTTATATACTTAACCTTATGATATCACAATTTGAAAGGTTTTAAAGACCTGGACTTGTCAATTTGTGTCTGGCTTAAGATTTACAAAGACAAATTATATAATCCCTGGAATAGGTTAGTCATTACAACCGCGACCTCTCTATTTGGGTGGAAAGTATGGTCGCGTCAAATTTAACTCGACACAGATCGTCAACAAAAATAATGAATGAGATCAATTTGCCGCCTGACGTAAAGGTCAGCCTTGTAGGTGTTTATTATTGTTCTAACAGTTTACTTTTCCGCTATTATCATAGTGTATGACTCTATAGTGACATTGACCAACAGACCGATTGTAAGTATACTAAATGCATTTAATTAAATAGCGAAGATCCACTAAGCTTAACAGTCATCTACTAAGAACTAGGCTTGGCGAGCTCAATGCCATTAGTAGCTCCTAGAAGACGTTTAACATCACCATAAATAGCAAACTGGCCAGCAGTAAGAGCTCCAACCATAACAATACGAGCACCAAGACCCAAAAACAATCCTCTAGGTCCAAGCTCTTTTGCAAGACCCCATAGGCGTGAGGAGATAGAACCTTCTCCGCCTTTCTGTTTGTTGATTTTGGAAAGGAGAGTATCGGCGGGCTGAGATATGATGGCGGCAGCAATACCAGCAATAAGACCTGAGCCTAAATTAATGGCTGTATTCGTAGAGTTAGATAATTCGCTCTTTGGCTTGCCAAGGGCGAAGTAAAAACTTTCCTGTAAGAGAGCATAAATTCAACAATTGGAACTTGATCATTGAACGATAACAATCAGACCGATGAAAAATTTTTTTTACTCACAGCAGCTCTCTCATATACCACGAATTTTGCCATCGTATACGGTACTTGCTATTAGTATTAACATAAGACAAAATGAAGCAATAAATAATTATATTTCAGTGCTGATTCGAATGATCAGAAAGTAGTTAAAAGCATTCATGGTGGATGTATTCTCCATCATCCATAGTAACAACGTAAAAAGAAATCAAACCTTGAAAAGAATAGGCCCAAATCCTGAATAAAATCCACGAATTACACCCTCTTCTCGCAACAGTCTACTAAATCCGCTAAAAAGCCCAGTAGCAAAAGTGGGCTGAGACACAAGACGAATGCGAGTTGCTTCCAGTGGGCACAGACCGATGTCTGCAAAGAATTCAGCGACGGCAGCAGACGAAAGATATATCGCAGTTCTATTATTTACAGCATTTTCGTAGCCAACAGCGTCAATAAAGGTCTTTTTCCAGAACTCGTAACCACCAAACTTTAATGCGCCTTGAAGGAAGTAACCACTAAATGTCGGGCCAAAGCCAGTGAGAAGTGCACCAGCACCTTCACTACGGATAATTTGGCGAGTGGCATTAACCATGCCTTTATTGTATACGGTTGGCTCAAGTTGAATACGAGTCTTTACGACATCAACTGTAAATGTATTGATCGGGATTAATAAGATATAACAATCGAAAAGATGTGTGTCGTCTTAAATTTCTTTTTATTTCTTTCTTTCCCTGATCCATCAGTATATACGTCTGATCCACTAACGATTAGTATGCCTAGATCCGTATTCCACTACATTGATATTGGCATCTTATTATTATCACAAATCTTACCTGGAGTGAGACCGCCATGGGTAACAGCACAGCATACGGCGCCAGCAAAAGCAAATCTGCTGTATAATGCAAGACCTGTCGGTACTTGTGCGGCTACAGGAACTGCAGGAATAACTTGAAGCTTCTCAGTTGCAGAAGCAGCAATAGTCTTGTCGGCCGACATCACTTGTTGTTTATAACGAGCAAAAAAGGTATTGATTCGAGATGAAGTAAGGCAGAATTTAAGAGAAAAAAAGCCAAACAGAGAGTGTGCACCACTGGAAGGGTTATCTATGTATTAAAGAAGAGGAGAAAAAACGCGGAACGGAGACAAAAAATGTTTGGTTCTGCAACATGCTTTTTTTGGTGATTGCGTGCCTGATACTGTGAGTCAAACTGGCTGTAATCAGTGAAAAAGAAAATTTATGAAGAAGTTGCATCCGAAATCTACCGATACTGTCACAATTTAGACTAACTATATACGGTAATAAGCAAACAAGAGCCACCCAAATTGAACGTCAAAATTTTTTTATTTTTGTTTAATGCGGGACTACAATCTTGCGGTTATGTCGCCCTCATCTGGATTCCACCCAGACAATAAATCCTGAACTACGTCTATACGATCATTTCCCCATACAAGTTCTCCCTGATCCACTTGGAAAGCTGGCACTCCGCAGACGCCAGATTCTATGGCCAATTCATAGTTTTCTTGCAATTTATTTTTGACATTATTGACGTTCGCTTGTGTTGCTTGTATTAGAGCTTCGCCATCAAAGCCTGCTTCGTTCAACACTGAAGCAAGGATCTCTTGGGATTCACCGATGGGAATGTTATTAGCCCAACATGCTTTGACTGTAGTAAAAAAGGCGAAGAGAGTATTATTAACATTATCCCTGTTAAGAATATTTGTATCCAAGTTATATCTGTACAATTTACAGGGCTGAGGAGAGTAATGGTATCATTCAAAGACATCATAACTTGACATAAGTATTAAGCTACCCCCTACATTCCCAATGCTCGGTTTAAGGATTTGAATACTCACAGATACAATCAATAGTCTTTGGTTCTAAAAGAAATATCCGTAAAGCAGTAATCGTTCCTAGTCAATTGTACAAAGTCTGAAGTTATTATGTAATTTCGTTGAAAAAGATAAACCATGCAAAATTGAACACAGAGGGCTTACGGATAGGAAATTGTTTTGCCCACTGGAATGTATACTGTTCACTCGAAGGATCCGACTGTTTGCGGACAATATTCCAAAGTTCGAGCCAATCAAGTATGTCTTTGAAAAAGTACCGACGCTCAGTCTCATTTGAACGAACCAAGGGAGGATCGGTTTTGAGACTTTAAAGAAAGGCTTGTTAATCGGACGTCTCAATTGTTGACAGAACTGATTGGTCGGTTGGTTTGCAAGCTGTCATACTTACTGCGTTAAAAGTGCACCCAAAATAATGGGCCTGTACTCAATCTCGACACCAGGACCGGCTTCTTGCACCACTCTCTTCAACTGGATATACGCGAGGTACGAATATGGTGAAGCAAAATCAAACCAGAACCTCAACGTTCTTTTCCCATTAACAGGCTTGTTCACGCGTCGCGGGATGACACTTTCAATACTTTCCACTTGCTCAAGAGGCACGCCTTTTGAAACTGACAATAGAGCGGCTTCAACAAAATGTAAGCGATCCTGACCATAGTACAAATAGCCATTCTTGAATCCATCGACCCAGAACGAAGGTACGCCCGGAGCTTCACGCTTAGCAGCCAAGCTAGTAGCTTCACGCAGACTGTCTTGATAGACTGCGTTTTCGAAAATGGATTCGGTTAACGGTTCAGGGTAGGGAATGTTTAGAGATTCTGCGGTGGAAACGAGTAAAGAGCGATCGACAATGTCTGCGTTGTCAACCCAATACAGGCGGTAGAGCGCATGGGTTAGCTGACCACGGTGAGACTCGGGAGTTGCATGGAGGAGTCGGAGTGCTTTAGAATGAAAATCAACTGTAATTAACCAGTATCTGCTATGCGATTCGAAACTTGATTGGAATATTCATAAAAATGTCATATACCGTCAATTGTCTCCAATGGATGTTTGGGATGAAAGTTGAACGGTATATCAAATCGTTTCAGAGTTCTGACCAAGTCTCGGTTGTAGTTTGCCAATTTCGGGGCAGACAGAACGTTCTTGGTACCTGGCGATATATCGAAACGAAAACAATTTTGGCTAAAAATTAAATTTCGATGCCTTTGGTCTTTAATATAAATTTTGTCATACCTGACTTATCCTATTATTAAAAAAAACCAAACATCTTGTCTAAGTGGGCTGCTTTAAATGAACACGGGTAATTATGCTGTGAATTCACGCACCTTGGTAGCATTAGTAATTTCGTAGATACCATTCAACGAAACAGGAACCCACTTTATGGTTGCATTCGTTCGTTGAACGACTTGTTCAATTCGTTTCGACGCAATGTATGACCACGGACATTGTATGTCATAAAAGAATTCTACATTGGGTAACATTTTCAATGTTGAAAGACCAGCACGGCCAAATGCGTTCATTGAACTTTGAATTCGGGAGATATGGTTAAATACAAACATACTCGTACTACCAATTACCTAATAAGTATTTATGGATAAATTTCGGATTATTTTAGAGATCTACCGTAAATTCGGATAAATTCATCGACCTATAAAAATGACCGTTCTAGAATTCAACCCCTTTCGGCATTGTCACGTCAGATAATTGCTTGCACCAATAAAACTACGAAAAGTCATGCAGAGTTTCGTAACAATTAATAGGATATTGAAATAAGTATATTTATATTCATGTGACCATAAATTGAACTGCCAGATTCAGCCGAAACTCAAAGTGATACTATGGGCTTCGATCTGACCAAACATTGTTACAGAAGATTTGAAAAATACAGTCAAATAAATATATATATTATATTTAAATAGGCCAAGTTGTGTTCTGTTTCCTTATCGTTCGACTAGCGGCATTGATATTGGCAATTTCTCGTAATCATCAGTCGAACTTCCAGCGTAAGTCTTACTTAATATAAAGGCTGTCATTCTGTGTAGTAAACGTGCCGTACAAGTACTGGAGTCTGGAAGGTAATCAACGCGATAAGTTTCATCAACAGATACATCGAATTTTAGGACTTGATTATATTAACCTTAGATTTTAATCTTAATCGTGTTTGAATATCTTACTACACATTGTAGACGTAAGGTTTAACGATATATTATTAACAAAGATCATTGATAATGAGATAGAGACATAGAGGAAATCGCGTGACAACCACATCATAGACAAAGTAGCAGAATCATAGGATAGTTTATTTGAATAATGAAATGCTTGATTGATATAACAATTTTTACGTGACTCAAATACAATATTCGCTATAACAAGATCTCTTTGTGATAATCTTATCGAGAGTGACTGTGCATATTTTATGGTATTGAAAGTTTTTTTCTTTTTTACTATCAATGTTGTCATGAGAAACGAAGAAAGAGATTTAGAATAAATAGCAAAATAACAGCGAGCACATCAGAAGGGCCGATTTACTAGAACAAGCGCATGCGAACAAGTGAATTAAAGGGTTATCAAACTCTTTGCAGGTTTATTTCCGGAATTGTTTACACCTTGACAAGCGATAATGGAAAAACTCGCAACAAACATTTAAACTATCACCAATACGGATTTTGAGAACCAAAGTAATTCATAAAGAGAAGATTGAGTTTGGACGAACAATGTTAAAACTTTTTGATTGTTGTCACAAAATGTAGAAAGTCAAAATGAGTTAATACAAATCCGTAGCCCATTTTTCAAACTTTAGCGTTTTAATTAAACTTACCACAAATATTCACTTCTAGTCCGAATGTAACAAACATCCGCTAACTATCCTATTTTTTAAATCCTGAATGTAAATAACCAAATTTTCTGCATCTTCCATTTTCACGCTAGACGACCTTACTGTTGGGCCAATATCTCTTTCCAGTTTTGTTACAGCCAAACGAATTTGATCTATTAATTTTGTAAGCTTGATATTGGACTCTTCAAGATCGCGGCATTCACTACGTTTTATTTCCATTCGAGAATGAATGTCCTGGATTTGAGTGCAAAGCTTGGAAATTTGTTCGGAATCTACTTGATGTTCTTCAGGTTTGCGATATTCCTCTGGTTCGGATGAAGGAAAACAAATATATACAGTAAATTATTGTACCTGTAAAAAGGGGGAATTGATCAGGTAAGGATGCGGACGTCAACTTACGTTGTGTTTCGGTAGTCAAGTTGCTCTGCGAAAACAGGTTAAAGTATATATGTGTAATCGATTCAGACTTACTTTAAACCAAGTTGAATAAGTAGAACTAACCTCACCGTCGAGGGGTCCCATCTCCTCTTTGCTATTAACGGATTTACTATTTGCTTCATTTTCGTTATCAGTCAACTCCTTAGTATTAGCATCATCCGATGGCCAAAATGGCCGATAACGTTGAGATATCTTGTTTTCATTTTTTGTTTTGGAGCTTGCCGTTTTTTGATGGTCATAATAGCCATAGAGATTATGTGCACGTGGGATTGCTTTGTCGGGGTATCTACAAAATAGTATTCGTATTAGTATTAATCATGAGTAATCGATACTAAAACAAAATAATAACCTTTTAAATTTCAGTTTGGCTCGCTGGGATCTTGTTATAGTCATGATTAGTAGTGTCTATTTCGGTTCCCTTGAACGTTTGTTTTTGCCCACTATTTATTTTATAATATCCTTCAGATTGAAATTCATATGTACCAGGCTTAATTTATACAGTTGACATTCATAACAATAAGCAACAATCTAACCTTCTCGGATACTAATCTCGGCATTTTACGCCATTGTTCATAATTCCAACGATTCAGGGGTAAATGCCATAATAGCACTATTGTTCTTGAGCCATACCAAAATCCGTAAATTTTACCAAGTAAACGTTTTCTCGGTTCTTTTGTTTTTAAGAAATTGAAATTATCAATAAGCTTTGTATTGTTTAAATTCATTTACCGTATATCAAAGCGGCATTGCGTTTAAAAGGTTTGTAATAGCAAATTTAAGTTAAAATAAAATTAAAATTACCTCATTATCATGTTTTGTAAATTTCAAAATAAAGTTTGATAATCGCAATTGTAACTTTATAGCGTAATACGGCTGTAGTTTGATAACAAGTTTAATAGAACGAGAAAATATGGTTTGAAAAAGAACAACATTATCCATTCACTAGTAAAACAAGCAAGCATCTGGATATAATTGTGGCAGGTTATTTGTCGCAATCACACAATTGCAATTGGGATTTGAACTCTTTTACTGTCACACGTACACAAACTTTGTAATGTCTGCACATGTGAGAAGTGATGTGACACAATTCATATTTATACTTTTGTTACTATTAATAATAGCGCTGACGTTTATTTCTATGTATATATTTTAATTTAATATTAATACAATTACGAGTTTAAAAATAAAATTTTGGATATTAGCTCGTTATAGTAGACCAACAACATCATTAATCGACTATAAAGGTAACCAGGCGAAGTCCCTAGCAACATGATTTTATAGCTAATACTAATACCGGCTGTCAATCGAATAAACAAAAGAAACTTTCATTGACATCTAAACCATGAGAAAAATATTTGGAGTCCATGCAACGTGAAAAAGGATTAGAATAATTGTGGCTGTTCTGTGAAAGTTTTTATTGACAATGCTGAAATCATGGGACAGCTCAGCCCCAGTAATCATTGTCAGCCAAAATGGGCATCAAATCTGCTAACTGTGAGCTTTCGCAAATTGTGTTTGCAAAGAGACAAAGTAATTTCGATTCACCAGGATCCGAAATTTTTTAAGCTGCCATGTAAAAAAACTATTTGTAAAAGCGTAACTCTTTGAATAATTCTAATCGAGCCTATAACAAGTCTTTATAAACTGTAACGAGATTAATTGTTTCCATGATTTTAACGTTAATTAATCAAACAGCGAAAAGGCCCGCTTTCTTAATAATGCTTTCCAACATTAGGTCTTTGAATATGACATCTATTGAGCAAAAAGAAAATATAGATATTTCTAATTTTAAGAAGCGATTTCCAAGGCTTAGAAAACTGTCAAATTGATTATTATGAAGAAAATGTATGCTGATAAGACACGACTGGAGCGAAACAGAAGATTGAATTCAAACAACTCCATGTTTTACATACTGTTCTTTGGCACGTCTCTGATAATTATAATATGATTACTACTACATTAAATATACATTTCCATAAAGAAATTCTTTGGCCAATGCAGATCACGTTATTTATATGTCGGACAATTTCTGTCGCACTCCCCGGGAAAAGTAGTTACTTTAGTGTATATAATATATTATATATACACCTTTGCCCTGGGCTCGTTCTCAACTCGGTGAAACGGCTATCTTAGCCTTTGAGCTTACTACTCAGAGCACGCTAGAAATGATACAATGGCGACCAGTGATAATGCTCGCTGCTGGAATAGCTTTTATGCTAATTACTGCCTTATTGCAAGACCCACAGAATAAAAGCCCGAAAATGATCAAATGTACACAAGAAATTATATTTACAGATAGTGCACCCGATGGCATATTTTTAGTCGTCTTGGACGATTGGGTGTATTTAACCGCAATATGGAAGGAGCACGAAGAGGCAAAAACTAGAGAGCTCAAAGGTATTACAACTTTGATTCGCGTTATTGTGGAGACGTAGGTACAAGTTCATTTATACTCTTTCAATGTCTTTAGGCCTCATTAAACAATATAGAAGACCTCTTCAGTCAGTTATATCGCTGAGACATCCTTCCGCAAATGCAAGCAAGTGTCTGATTTCACGATTGGAAAAGCGCGTTGTTTTTTGATAGTGTATTAACGTTGATTGTCAATTTGTCCATAATTCTTCAGCATGGCAATTACTTTATGTTCATCAATTAGATGGACCGATTGCCCACTTGTCGAAATATTGTCATGCCAATGTCACTATTCATTCAGCAGCTGCGAATGTTGCAGAATATGATTCCATAGCAATCTTGTATTATACGCAAAAAGACGAGGATTTGATCTATACCGTGAGGTTATATCGTATTGGAGTATTTAGGAAAGCCGATCAAGCAGCAGTTGGTAGGTGTTTGCGATTACCAAACATTAAAAGTAAGGTTTGGCTCGTACTGATGCCCGCTTATGATATTTTTGTAGGTGAATGTAAAAGCCATACAAATAGTCCATGTCATAGTACTCCATCATTTCGATTCCAAGACATTATTCTACCAGGGACAATGCCAATTAAAGCATTTTATGTGGACAACAATATGATACTTTATTCGAGGCAAGTGGGATTGTCAGTTCGACAGCGAATGATTATGATTGTGGTAACAGAACGCTGTTACATTATTATTTTATTAGGCATTTTGATAAATATAAGTTTCGAATGATAAAAATGCCAAATGACATACTGAACGATGATGAGAATGATGACAGAAAGATAGAATCGAGCGACCCCGGAGTATTACAAAGTTAGTATCATTTTATTCTGAGTTTCCTCCGATACAGACCCTTGTTTAACTGATTTTCTAGGACTCAGTCAGATGGATTTGATGAATAAGACATCAACCACACTGAGAACGTTGCACATATCTACGTAAGCGAATTATTATACCATTTAATATTCATGTTTGGTGGATACCAGAAACCATGACCGTGGATTCATTACGCTGGTTCAATGACTAAGCTCCGATTTTGATAAAACCAAGTCCAGGTGCCATTCGTGTTCTCTATGCAGAGGCTACTGGGAACGAAAGAGCGTGGAGCTATTCGGTGGTTACATATGACAACGCATCAACTACTAACACTAAATGGCGACGAAAATCAATAATATACGTAGGTGTCACTATTCATCTTCCAATACCTGGATAAGTTGTTTTCTAATATTTGGTTTTCACAGGAAGATCACCAAAGAAGTGAAGAAATCGATGACATGGATATTCATACTCAAGTTACACAATTGGACAGACCTATGCTACATCCTATAGTCGGTACGTTGAAGTAATCGCTAGTTTGGAAACCATCAACGGCAGATATAACTAATGCTAAATAATTACTTAGCGACAGCGCAGAACGCAACTACTATCGCGATTCCATTAAGTGATAGCCTCAAAAGTTACGATTTTATACTACATCTCAAGCCAGAGCAGTATAGGGTTCGTGAGATTCGAACCTCACTTCACGGAGATCGGAATCCATTTTTCGTTGGTGCAGAAATCAACGCGGCTGCTAATCAAATGGCTCTTGTCACAAAGGTTAGATTAATCATTGGGAAAGTTCGGGATAGACTTTGATAGTTAAACTTTGTAATTCAAAAACCAACAAATGTTTTGGTTGTGATGAGCTTTTTATCCCGACTCTTTTTTAAAGCGAATCGTATTATGGTTTGTAAACTTCCAATTGTTGTCATTATACACGAATTGCAGGATAATTATATTCCGATTTTCAAGCGCGGAATAGCCGAAGTCGGATCAGGATCCCCTCAAAAACGGCCATTAAATTTAGAATCTGATGAACAAGCGGCATATGTCAAGAATACATCGAATAATCTTGATGGAGGTGAAGCATGGCATAAGCGAATGACTCTGAAAGTTACGTTTCCATCATACGAAGAGTTTGACAACTTGTATGGTGGGGTAAGTGATTTGATCTAACATTATTAGTATATTGGATTACTTGCTTTTTTTTAACAACTTCGTTTATATAGGATGTCATAGCCGTTAAATTATTCAATAATTCATCATATGCAGACGTTGAGGAAGGCACAACAGGAAACTTTTTGTGTAAGCAATGTTTTGGTTAATATTTATGTTCGTTTTTACGCGTATTAATGATCTTGACTTTTGTAGTTGTTGTATACGGATACGGTATACTGGTGTCCTTTGACTTGGGAATACCATATCAAGAAAGTTTCATATGGTATTTTGTGACAGAGAAATGGCAAATGTGTATTAGTAAGTATCCTTGTCGTTTGTGTAGTGGTTCTTTTAACGTCTATTCGCTGATGCTTACTCTGTTATAAAGCAATGCTGTTTGTAGTTTTGCTGTTTTCTTGGCATGAAATGCAATAGCGAATTTGGAGATAATCGTTTATTTAAAAAAATCGTATAATCGCCGTCCGGCTCTGCCCCTACAACGTCCTTTTGAGCAAGGTTTCTTTCTTGATAATGTATTATATTGTAAAATTTGAGTAAAGTGTTGTAGGTTATGCCATAGTTACGCTTCCTACACGCAGTCAAAATAATTTTTATGCTCACTCGACGGAAACTCAAGGGTATTGGTGCTTTTTACTTGGAAAATGTAAATACAAATACCTAGTCACAGAAGAGTTTCATTTGCTACTTTTTAAATACATAATTGACTGTTTTACCACCGCGAACATGGATAATCCGAGTGACTTTGGAAATATCGTTCTTCTCATATAAATATAGTTTGCCTCCTGGAGATGATTGGATGATAGATTCTATCGTTGCTGGCGAGGAAATAGCCGATGAAGGTATCTTGACAGTAAACCGCGTCTTCCCATTTACCTGTAATGTAAAAGAACAGTGACACGTTCATTATCAGACCAACACAAGTATATAATGAAAATTTATTTTGACTTTTCTGACCTGCACGCTGCAAACAACTTCATCTACAGCCAACGCATTTTCATCAAATTCATCCCACGTTTCATCAAATACACTGTTCCCTGCACCATTCAGTTTTTCCCAACATTCTTCGCCAAAACTAGGTGCCATTGGGGATATCATTTTCACAAGTGTGCGTACAGCATAGTGATAAACAGGAGAAAGTCTTCTGTCCGTGCCTAATGCTACTTTAGTTGATACAAGCTGGTTTGTGAGTTTTATTAGATCTGAAATAGTTGTATTGAACGAATAAGTGGCATCATATGACGTTGTAACCTGAATGGAAAAAAAATGATGAAGCCGTCCAGGTTATTTGAAGTTCGCAATGGCAAAATGTAAACGCAACTCCATCAGTTGATTTACCTCTTTCAAGGTTGCATTAAGGGCCCTATAGATATTTCTCTCTTCTATGTTCATCTTCTCCATGTCCCACTTTCCTTCAAACTCTTTCACGATCGTGTCATTTGACTCAACAACGCTACAAACAGTCCGCCATACTCTATTCAGCCATCTCTGTATTCCAACTATGCTTATATCTTCCCATTCTATAATCTCAGATACTGGCGCCTTATATAGAATATGCAATCGAGTAGAATCGGCACCATGTTTGGAAATAATTTCATTCGGGTTGATGCCATTGTATTTGCTTTTGGACATTTTCTCATACGTTATAAGAGGTTGTGCGGATGTGACAAGTATTCTTGGGCTGGAAGGGTCTATAACGATAAAAAATTAAGAAATATTAATACAATCAATCGTTAATAAGAGTGATGGCTAACGAGATATGTAACCTGATAAATCAATTTCTTCGCGTTTTAGATACTGTAATGTTTGCGGGTCTTTAAACGTCCGTCCATGCACCATTCCCTGATACATAATATCGTATTTCAAAAATTTTGAAACCAAAGTACCCGTGTTTCTGATGGCAGGTCATTGAAATACACTTACTTGAGTAATCAAAACTTTGAATGGTTCACCATTTCCTGGTAACGTTCCCTTATCAGACCTATACATTCCACAATCATACAAAAATTTTGCAAAGTAACGCGCATAAAGTAGGTGCATTACCGCATGTTCTACACCACCTATATAAACATCAACAGGAAGGAGCTTGGCAGCCAATTCTGGTGCAAATGGTCTGCAACGTGTAGCATAAAGAAAGGTTATCAGCCGTCATGTCGCAAATAATGCTTTACAATAACACCAATAAAACTTACATACAGGCTGTTATTTTTTGCGTCGATGTAACGAAGGAAGTACCACGAAGAGTCAACAAAGGTATCCATTGTATCGACATCACGTTTTGCTGGACCGTGGCATCTGTTGTAAAACACAATATTTGAATGCGAATATCAATTATATATTCAATCAAGTTTATTGTCATCGCTTACTCTGGACATTTGCACTCAACCCAGTGGTTTATCTGACTTAATGGCGAGCTTCCTCGACCCGTGAATCTGACATCTGTAGGTAGCAAAACAGGCAGATCTTTTTCTGGAACTGGAACAGCCTTTTGTACACACGGAAATCAGTAAGAAATTAAATAATGCTTAAAGGTGATTGCCTGCAGCGAGTCAATCAGCGTAGATCAAATTTCTTGACATTTCACATACCCCACAGTTAGGACAATGTATTATAGGTATTGGGGTGCCCCAGTAACGTTGTCGTGAAAGAAGCCAGTCGCGTAAACGATACTATCGAAATCAATGACAATGTATTTAGTAATCCGTTTATAAGAAATAAAGCCATAGTAATCTTATCAGTATACAAGTAAAAATAAATACTTGAACGCTCCAACGTCCGAATCCACGCTTCTCAGCATCCGAAACAATGGCCTTCATGGCATCTTCGCTCTTCATGCCAGCATACGGACCAGAACTGTCCGTGAGAACACCAAGTTCAGTAAACACTTTCGACTCATTTTCAGTGACCACTAAGTTGACAAACAGCGCCACACATTATACCGACAGTCTTCATCAACACATGCTATAAACCATGTATAACTTTCGGATAACACCTTTTTACCATACCCTTGACGACAGGACTAACAACCTTTTTGATTTCGTTTTCATTCACAATCCCATTCCATTTTGCAAAATCAAAATCTCTTTCATCGTGTGCAGGAACGCCCATAAGTGCTCCAGTACCATAATCCGATACAACATAAGAAGACAAGTATATGGGAATTTGTTCATTGGTAAAGGGATGTGTTGCGCAGAGTCCTGTATACGTTCCTAAGATGTAGACAGTCAGGATTTGAAGAATACATATAAATCTAAAAATGATGGATGTGCGAATAAACGCGGTTACCTAATTTCGTCTTTCCTACGTTGCTATCGCTTACTGATTGCTGCTCTTGCTTTATTTTCTCTGCAAGTGTGAGAACTGTGGAATGTAGCTCTTTTGGAATATAACTACGAATTGTTATTTTTTATTATTATACATAGACCCTTAACAGGATAGTATGCTGACAAATTCGCAAGTGTTACTTACTGTTCTGAAATTAATGGATGGTCTGCTGACAAAGCCAAATATTGTACACCGTATATTGTGTCTGGTCTGCTTGTAAATACTTTAAGGTTGAAAATATTCTTCTGATGAGAGCTCTACGGGCAAAGAAAAAGTCTTAGAAATTTGGGAATAAAAGATGGTAAAACTTCTATATATACATACGACCAAGAATTCAAATTCAGCTCCTTCGGATTTTCCAATCCAATTCGCTTGCATCTGTTTTACACGGTCAGGCCAATTTTTTAACAAATCCAAGTCTTTTAAAAGTGGCTTTACAAAAAGTTACGTTAGTAAATAGAATATCCAATAAAGAACAAGACAACAGGTATTTCATCTATTTCATCTGAAATTTACCTCGGCATACTTGGTAATTCTAAAAAACCATTGCTTAAGTTTGCGACGTTCTACTTTTGCTCCTGAGCGCCATGACAAACCCTCTGGGCTGACCTTGAATCATAGTGTTATAGCAAAATTTATAAGGTCATAAATGTAAGTCATTCATATAATCAAAGAAGACTGTCCTAGTATATTTTTTAAAAACGTAGACCCCAAATCTATATTCATCACATTTCTAAAATGGCAGTTTCCACAATACAATTGATCCTAGACGCAGAGCTGCTTACTGATGGGACGATGAACTGTTATCTAACAGTTCTGACTTAAATCAGATCGAAAATCTCTAACGTACTGTCAAACAGACATAAAAAGAAAGAGGTTAAAGACTTGAACGCAATAAAAAAGTCATGTAACGAAGCGGAAGAAGCCACAGGTGCAGCTGGTTCAAGAGTTCCCCATAGAAAATTTAAAATAGTTCAGTTCATCTAAACTTATTCCGCATCAAAAAATGTACAAATGCTCACAGCTTCACATGAACTGTGCATGAAAACCAGTAAGTTGAAAGTAATGATTATATTTTGATGTAGTTAAATTTACCTGTTCGTTTGCGAGAACTGTTTGATCCACCGGATCCCAGTTTACAAAGGCTTCTTTTTGGTAAGCTAGGCCAACTTTGTAAAATCGTAAAAAAAGATATTGTGTCCATTTATAATAGTCAGAATCACAGGTAGTTATCTCCTATTATGAGTAATTGTTAAAACTTTCTTCGAATTTGCCTTAATTATTCGCGTTATTTCACATAAACGTTACCCTATCCCAATCAAAATCGACAAGAAGCCTTTTCATCTGTTCTTTCATACTCTGAATATTTTTCTTGGTCCACTCGGCAGGTGGTATGCCGCGTTCAATGGCAGCGTTTTCAGCAGGTAATCCAAATGCATCCCAGCCCATTGGATGAATTACATCGTATCCTCGCATTCTCTTATATCTCGCAATAGTATCGCTAATGGTGTAGACTCTCACATGACCCATATGTAAGTTTCCACTAGGATATGGAAACATTGATAACACATAAAATTTGGGTTTTGATTTGGATGGTGTGGCTACTTGAGGCTTGTTTTGCCAATTTACAGACCATTTCTGTTCAATAAAAGAGAAATTGGGAACTTTTGCTAGAGTCGAATAAAGAAGTTTTGAACGTGAAACCTTTCGCCGGAAGAGAAAAAGAGGAAACATTCTTGTGACTCTTCACAGTGATCAGAGTGAGATCGATCATTTTGCAATGGATAGACACGTGACTTCTATAGAATCAACTGTTTGTTTTTCTGTGGATATATTACGCACTTTCTAGCAAAACTGTCACACGTTCAATTCCGCATTTACCTGGTAGCGACAATGTTAATAACCGGCTGCAATAGAGGGTCGTCATTAATACTTGCCCGAAATTTAATCTGATATTAAACGATCGTATTTTTGGGCTTACCCCATTCAATTTGGACATTTTGTTCGTTTTCCGTTCTTCGCATATTTATTTTTGTGTATTTGATTCGGCGATATATAAGACTAATTAATGGTTTGATAATCTAAACTCACGTTTATCCACTGCAAGGAGGAACCTTTTAGTCAAAGATTTTAGGCAAAGTAATCATCGGATAAGGCATCATTATATTTCGCATTTATCGATATCACCGGGACTGGAGACGAACACGAGACGATCGATGGTGTTTTAGCAGCCAGAAAGATGCAATTTGAACGACCGTGAATATCGTACTTGTTATATCAGCATTAATATGCAGGATGGCCAAAACTGATCCTTAATTCTGGTTACTTGTAAGGGTTACTTGTACGAAACAAGAGCTATATGAGGTTCGCAAGTCAACAGAAAAAAGATGTAAACCGCTCATCCAGGTAGATAAGCTCATAAGACAAAAACTAATAAATTTAGGAATATCAACGCGTCCCCAGAACAGAATTTGATTGGTGGATAACTTCAATCAAACCATTTTATGCTTACCGATTTCCCACCCAGCATACCGTTGTGCGACAGTTCTGGATCAAATTTGAAGTTAAGTTCAATGATCATGATCTTACAACTTAAACCACGGATGTACATCATTGCTTGACACTCTCCCCCCGATTGATCGTACTGTACTCCAAAAATAGACATGATACTACGTAAATTTCCATGTCATACTAATACCTCATGTCATTATTGCAGCTTTGTAACACCGGCGGGTTTTTTTATAAAATTTATAAAGGTACGAAAAGTTTACTGATCATAAAAAAAATATAATTTGATAATACGTTTCGCACACGGCATAGTTATCACGGACAAGTTCGATGATCAAAACTATCCATCAAAGTTCAAATGTCGTCCTCCAAAGTTAACCATACCTCACAATCGATTCTCAACCCTAAAACGACAGAGTATGAATTCCTCGGTCCAATTGGGGCTTTTCTTATGATCACTGTTCTTCCCACCCTGGTTTATGTTCTGAACGTGAGCTGTACATTTGATGGATGTCCTCCATATTACTATATTGAACCATATTTTAAGGCCCCGTTAAGTTTCTTGTATCATTATTCTCCCTGGTATCTTGTGTCCTTATTCGATGCAGCAGCTTTTGTTGCATACATATGTTTTCTCATCTATCTGTACTTAACATGGCTTTACCTACCTGGAGAATGGGTTGAAGGAACAGTGCTTCGTAATGGAAAGAGACTCAAATACAAGCAGAATGGATTTGATACTCTGCTGCTCACATTGTTCGTTATTGCCGCTACATTAATAGTGATAGGAACCGGACCATTTTTATTCGTCTTTGATCACTACATTGGGCTTATAACAGCTTCGACAATAGTATCATTTGCCGCTTCAATATATGTATATTTAGATTCCTTCGAGGGAGATAAACTGCTAGCATTGGGTGGCAATACTGGAAACGTTATTTACGATGTAAGCTTATGGCTGTTCGAATTCTTTTTGCAATGTGAATCATAAATATACTTATATTAATACGTTAAACAGTTTATGATAGGGCGAGAGTTGAACCCTCGCATTGGTGATTTTGACATCAAATACTTGGTAGAATTGAGACCAGGCCTTATTGGATGGATGATTATCGATGTTTCTATGGCTATATGTCAGTACGTCGAACTCGGTGAAATCACTTTCGCGTTGTTTCTCGTTGTTGTCTTCCAAATCTGGTATGTCGTCGATGCTTTGTATATGGAGGTAACTATGCATTTTTATTAATCAGTTATAGTGTTTTGCATTAAAAGTTCCGTTTACGTAATTTATTAATATGACTATTTATACAAGTCATCTGTACTTACAACAATTGATATAACAACTGATGGATTTGGGTGGATGCTTTGCTTTGGAAACTTGACCTGGTTGCCGTTTACTTATAGTATCCAAGCAAGATATCTTGTTTTGTCCCCCATTGGATTAAGTTGGTTTAGTATATTCATCATAATGATCCTGAAAGCTGTTGGATATGTGATATTCAGGGAAGCCAACACTGAGAAGAATATTTTCAGGAATGATCCGAATGATCCTCGAGTTAGACGTATGTTGGTAAATTATGTTCGAATGTAAAGTTTTGCGAACGAATAACGACTATTAACTGACTTTATTACAGACCTAAAGTACATTACTACTAAACAGGGGTCTAGGCTACTGGTATCTGGTTGGTGGGGTGTAGCAAGACATATCAATTATTTTGGTGATTGGTTGATGGCATGGTCTTGGTGTCTTCCATGCGGTAAACGTTTCTGAATTCTTGCGCACAATATAGACCGAATCTTATTATCTCTTTTCCTCTAACGAAGCTATTTGATTCGATGTTCATTAGGTTTTGATGATATCTTTCCATACTTTTATGTTGTCTATTTTGCTGTGCTACTAGTACATCGCGAAATTCGCGATGAAACCAAGTGCAAGAATAAGTATAAAAAGGATTGGGATCGATACTGTGAAATCGTCAAGTGGAGAATTATTCCTGGTAAGTGTACATAAATTTTTCATGGCTGTTGCATATTGGCAAATATGTCTGACAAAATCATTATACAGGTGTCTACTGATGTTTTTGTTTGAAAAGAAATTGCTTGTTTTAATTATTTGTATTATTATGCAACTGTAAAACAGTCTATTTGAAGATAGAATATATACAATAGTACAATTCAATAATTTATCCAGAACTCTAGTGGAAACGATGAGCGCATAATCTTCCAATGTTCAAGAGCAGTTGGCAATTGTAATTTATCTAATGGATTATTATCTTCAGTAATGATGTCTGTAACATTAGCAAATTTGTCAAGTTGAATAAACCATGATTGAAAGTTTTTCAGTATGTATTCTCTCGTAGCGCTACCAAAGAAATCCATTTCACTTGCATCTCGGAAACGTATTGGTTTGCTTGAAGCAAAGAATGCCTTGGGTTTAAGTTTAAATTAGTAATAGTTCAAAATATTATTAATACAAAGCCAGAGCTTGCACTCTCACCATATTTGTAAATACTTCTGTTTCATGCCATCCCTCATTGACACATTTCACATACGGAAAAGTAGCCCTGATAGTATTATAAACAAGAGCAAGAGCTTCCGCATAAGGCCAAAGTTGAGATCCTACAAAATTCTGTTGAAAGATTCATTAGAATTTAAATTATAATTATTGTAATATTCACTAGGATCCTTCCACATACCAACGCTAAGATACCATCATCTTTCATAATCCTTTTGATTTGTTCAAGAGCCTTCGTCGAGAATAATGAGGATGGAACTGACCCTCCAGTAAATACATCATGTAACACATAATTGTACTTTCTCGATGGTGCATTCTCTATGAATCGTCTTCCATCCTGTATATAAATGTTATGTTTCTTTTCAAGTTTGAAATAGTCTATTGCATATTCGTAGACAGCTGGGTCGAGCTCCACTATATCGAGAGTAATGTTTGCATTCTGTAGAGATGCTGCTGACACTCCAATTCCCAATCCACTGAAAATATAAATCATCATTAGTATGTACATTAAGCTACTTCTTAACAGTATCTACCACGTACATCTGGAGGGCTGTTGGATTCCCTTCAAGTGCTCGCTCTTCAACTAGACGTACAGCTGCAGAAAAATCATGATAGTCAGTTGTTCGGTATCTGTAGTCACAAATGATTACAATAACTAACCTTCCATAAAGTAAAATGACCCATACACCGAATCCCATGACTCTTTATATACACCGCCAATAAATGAATGGCCGGCACGCATCAGCCGTAACTCCAAGCGAGGCGTTTCCCGAAATATATCTACTATATCTATCCATCCTGTTATGGATTCTTTACGTGCTATAATGCTGTATGTGCTCTTTTCAACTGTAACATCCTACAAACATTAGTTAATAATCAATACAGGTCGTCGTTTTGTGCATAGCGTGAAGTAATGTGATCGCAACTTTCTTGTGAATAATACACTCACTTGAATCAATCCATTATGACATTGAGGAATAAATCTGACGTTATACAGAGCAAGTAATACGATAAGAACTTGTGGAAACATCTTCAAACCAATATTCTGCATGCACGTTTGAGCACTTAAGTGTATCCTTTTCCTCTGTCCAGAGTCATCAAGTAATGTAACTTCACCATATAATGCCAAGAGACTTTTAAATAACCCACCAATTACACCAAGGAGAGTTCCACATAAATACAATCTTTGACAATTTTTACCCATTGCCATAACATTATATAAGACATATGTCAGAGTAACTATAGTAATCGTGTATGTGGCGACATAAGATATCCATCTTACAGTTGGAATAGTTCTGATCTCTATATTTCTTCTTGCACATACGATAGCATTAACGAATCCTAATAGAAACATTACAGGATAACCCAGAACTGATTGCGTAAATTGAGGACCGATGTATGGTCCCAGAAGCCCACTCTGATTAAAAAGGATTCTCGTCAAAATCGGTGCAGAGGCGAATATAATACCACATCTATCAACGGCAGTTATAACTGCCTCCGCCAATAATCTATTCATTGCTGCTTTCTTCTGTGCTTGCACTGCAAATAGGACACCTAAAACTGCCCCTCCTACTAGACATCCTATTGACATTTCTGGAAAGTATAATGTGGAGAACACGTTCCCATAAATTGGCTCGACATATTTCGGTGCGACCTGAAGAATGGTCGAAGCCAGAATTGGCGTTAATAGCAATAGAGTTGCTCTGGATAACGTCCATAATTGAGTTATCGATGCAATCCGATCATCAACCTCATGTAATTGTTTTGTTGAAGTAGTTGATTGTTGTGGTATGTTGCGACGACGACGAGCCATTTTGAAATTGGGAATAATTAATATTGAAAGATTTATTTTAATTTGAAAATCGTCACGTGATACAAAATTAAGCTGTCTTTACCAACTACGTCAAAACCTTAGCATGAAAAAAAAAGTTCAGATCACGTGGAAATGTACGTCCGAGCTGGAGCCGATGTGAACAGTAAACAAATCGCGTGCCATATTTGTAACGGTAAACAAATTTCACACTTTTTTGTTACATAGTAATAGTGAAACTCGATAAGTCGGACACGGTGGGGAGAGCAGGGCTGTCCGACTTATCGAAATGATTTTAGTATGGAAAAAAGAAAAGTGCAGAGGGATTTTGTTCCGACTTATCGAGTTTCACTATTACTATTATTATGTATCACTAATTTTGTACTATGAGCGTGTAAGGCTTCTTCACTTTTCAGCCTAGATTTATCTCATTAAGGCCTTATTATTATAATTTCTCACAAATTTGTCGTTCATATAACACTACCCTACCTAGTCTTTCGGAATAATGATTGCGAGTCGTATATTATATGGATTATTGCGTCTTGGCTTGCAGTTTTCTTTGTATCGTGGCGTAAGCATTAAACTCAGTTTTTTCGAACAAGTGTATTAACGATGTAAGTCAGATCTATGTATGTTTTATTATGTTAATTTGAAATTAATATTAATATGTAGGAAAGGAAAGTAGTTATACTAGAATTGAAATAGAAAGGAAGCTAGTCCATAGGAAGTTAGCGCTATATTATCTTAATGTAGTATACCAATCCCAATCAATAAACGATTTATAAATGTTCAACGAGTATTAGTATACAATTTACGTTACTAGATATTAATATCATAGTTTTCGTTTTAACACGCATGAGATATACCATCTTACTATTATGGTTATAGTTAGTATTAGCATAACTTTAACCAGTAATTACTAAACATGGTTTTGGTTTCGTTTATATGGCCAAGATTTTGCCATTTTATCAAGTCTATAAAATGAATAATAATAATGCAATAGTGACGGTAAGACGCGTTTACCTTGTTGTTATTTGTGCCGTGTTGACCCAAACATTTCCACGTGATCTGAACATTTTCACATGATTCGAACCATTTTTTATGCGGTCTATAATTTACCTCTTTTCCTTGTATCGTATGAAACATGGATGAAATACATCTTACTCCGATGGATACGTCGACAGACTCTCCATCACTGGACAGTATGAAAGCAGATTATGATGAGCTGCACTCCATTAATCTACAGACAAGAATTCATGTGCGTGTACAATATTACAATTATGATCGATATTTGCTTTGAAATCATGCTTAGATTTATTATATTTAGGCACTTCGACGGATTAACAGACTTATAATGTTTCGAGATGATGAATCGCGAACTGGATTATTGCATGCTTTAAGTTCGCGATTATTGGTAGAGGAAGATAAAGATGCTAAGGTGAGCCTATTTGTTTCAGTTTTGTTCTGCATTATTATTGTCTAACAAGAAGAACGCTCATTGTCCTAGGCGTTGATTGTCATGGCGTTAGAGAAGCTAGCACATTTACCTTCATTCGACGGTTCCAAGATTCTACAAATCCTAATGAATCAGGTACATTTATATATTGACCCTCCGTCTGTACCGCAACTAGTTCGTGATCGGTTATTGACTATCGTATATATATTTTGTGATTGTGTAGACAGAAACGGATTCGACAAAGTTGAAATGCCAGATTTACGATTGTATATTTAGAATACTTAAAGTATTGTTTACCTTCTATGTTATTGCTGTTGTCCATACTCAATATGTGATTGTTCTAATTATCATTATCTTATATTTCACAGATCAAACACTTCAATACATACAATTCACCCGACTTTGCCAGACTCCTGCAGGCACTATCTAAGCTCGTTATAAAAGAACTATCCGATTCTCATTATCGCATCCGATCCATTTGCATTCAACTACTGACTTCATTACCATCGCTCATCAGTCGCACCAAATCAATACACGAACAGTCTGGTCAGAAAATTCCCTATTATCCGTCTGAACAGGAAATACAGACAATTATTCGTAATTATGGTACTGATGTCGATCCAAGAGTTAGAAGGGTAATACATACATAATATTTACCGAACTTTAGCGTACGTGCGTGGAATGTAGTGTTTTCTGTACTTACTGTTTACGGTTTTCTTTAGACGGCTCTCAAATCTTTACTTCGTTTACATCAGCGTGGCTGTAAGTTAGAGTTATCTTTGTACGATTTATGCAAAGAAAGTCTCAAAGACGATTACGAAGAAGTCAGAATTGAAGCGTTGAATTTGATATGGTTTGTCTTAATCTAAATACGAACGTTTTCGATGATGAATTGAAGTAGTAACAACCTTGATATTTGTATAATATAGGGTGTTGAGCAGTCTCTATCCCAACAGTACGGTGAAACCGTTCCTCGACAATTCTCTTGACAAAAGTGTTAGACTTGTTGATGACGCATTCATTAGAATATGTGATATTATTAGTGATGTCTCCGTGAACGTTCGCAGTAAGGTAAATGATTATTTTATACGCTCATGATAAGTGTACGATTTTTTCATTTGTTGTTATTAATAATTTGGGTTGCGCGTACTTCATTAAAGGCCTCCACTTTACTTGGAAGCTATAGACAAGCGGAGGGTTCTATTCTACTGCAAACGTTTAGTAAAGAGAAAATGACGAACTTTGGGAGACAGAAGGGTCGCTATATGGATGACGTTAAAACAGTAAAAATTATCCCTACTCCCGAAGGCGATTTCGATGTCCAGGATGAATTTCGTTTGTTGGACTCGGGGGCATGTGGGGCTTTCGTTCATGGGTTGGAAGATGAATATCAAGACGTCAGATATGCCACTATTGGTATCTATTTATCATTTTTTATTAATTCTTTGTAAACGTTATTGCAAAACAATTGTAATTCCTGCTTCAATGTCATTATATAGATTCTATATGCGAACTATGCATGCATAACTCAACGTTTGCTGAGAAGGCAGTTGATTTTCTAGTGGGTAAGAAACATTCCGTGGTAAAATTCATATGCGAACACGTAACAACCTCAACAATTAACTCAATATAATTTGGTAGATATGTTTCACGATGAAATCGATTCTGTTAGATTAAATGCGATCAATAGTCTTCGAAAGATATCAACAAACGCAGAAATAATCTTTAACAGAGAACAATTAACTATCGCCTTGAGTGTACTTGATGACGCAGATCCGACAGTGCGCGAATCAACTCACGGGTTGTTGCGAACTGTGAGATTGGCTGAACAAGACATGGTTATGAAACTTATCGAAATAATGAAGAATAACGTGACAAGATATCCAGAAGACCAGTTATCTATATACCAATGTTTTCGTGATTTCGGTGCAAAGCATAATGATTTTATTGGTAAGTTGGCATCGTGGGCAACCTGGTGAGCCAAAACGTATATTTAACGTTGTATGAGGCATTACTTTTTCATGTGGCTAATACTTGATAAACATTTTAGAATACTTGGTACCGGTGTTCTTCACGTTGGAACAAGGGTTTAAACCAGTAGAGAAACATGTGGACGATCCAAAGCGTATCCTAACACGATTTTTTTGATCAGATAATTCTTGTAATTCATAGCATTCCATAACTATCTCTACAGATATTGGACATGTCATTATGACCTTCAACGCGGCTCATTCTAATTCCAAGATACTCGAAATTATACCGGATTATCTATGGAGGCACTACACTTATCTGAGAGATAAATTTCCCAGTTGCTTTTTTGAAATACAAGTAAGCGCTGTTGAGCAGCCTTGTATTGTGTTAGGTTCTGAGCTGCGTGACTAATGCCAGTAATGAAAATGATTTTATTACCAACAAAGATGCCTTCAAATTTGTCAAAGCCAAAGAAGCAAAAGGGAGTCGATTTTCATGGTAAATCTTTACATAATCGTCATCATTTTCTTTCCACTTTCGTTCCAACTGACATATCAAATTATTACCCTACATGCAAGAGGATGGACAAAATGTTCAGAAATTTATGGAAGAAATCTTAACAACTATAAGTAATTTAGAATCGCTATTCAAGGGCGACTTGGACACTGCTAAACGAAATGCGAGAGTGTGCCTGAGGTAATAACGCTTGTATTCAGACAATAATTGACATCATATAATAACATTGATTATACATATGGTCCTCTCGTTCATGTAGAGACCTCAAGTATATAGCACACGTGGCTCCATTGCTTTCAGGAAAGGCCGAATTTGCGATCATGTACCTCGAATGTGTAAAGATAATCATCGAGGTAATGTAATATATCTTCTAATTGATAACAAATGTGCTTGTTATTTGCTACACGTAGACATTGACGCTTTCATTTCTAATCAACAATTTTGTATGAAAAAGATTAAACAAAATTATTTGCAGCCCAATTTCATAGTAGTAGCCTCAAACTTAGCGGGCCAATTGCTTGCTCTTTCTTACGTAATGGAAAATACATTCCTAGGGCTTCCTGGCCAGGCAAGACGGTTCTTCGTTACCGCAAGGCTGTTAGCAAACTTGGTCTGGATAGTAGGATCATTGAGGCAGATAAACAAGTACGTTTAGTATTTTCGTAGAACGCAATCGTGTATATCCGATGATTCGACCTCTAACTGTATTCCTGTCTAATAGACATAACCATTCACAAGAAATAGCAAAGAATCTATTCGGCTTGCTATTAAAGAGACTCACCCATATACAAACGTGCTTATAATGTTTTTTCGCAATTTTTTTTTACATTGATTATTGTAGTATAACTTATACGGATTATTTTTTATTAGGGAATTTGGTGGGGAAGATTCTAATCTTAATCAACTCGGTGATTTCCAAAGTAGATTGCAGCGAGCCCATGACCATACAACAGTAACAACCATAACACCATTATTTGATTATATTGAAGTAAGATATTTCTGAAATCTTTATACGCAAATTCATCTTAATCTCTATAATCACGTTTGCTTTTCACGATTATAGTCATTCGTGCCTCCAACAGTAGATTTTCGGAATTTATTAAAGAGATCGGATGCGGTAATTATAGAACCTGCATACCAGTCAACCACAGAGCAAGTGTTCAATAGCGAATTTCCGTTGAGAATACGCATTATAGCAGACGTGTTTAACGTTGCCGATACAGGCCGTATCGGAGTACAGGTAAACGAGAAATCCAGTAGCATTTTTAGCATATCAACTTCAAACCGCTAATGACGAAATCATATCAGGTGACTTTCCCAGATCAGAAAGTCAGACAATTTTGGCCTCCTTCTTCTCAGTTCGTGCTTATTAAGCCATTTTATTATCGATTGAAAACATCTATAGAGATCTCCCAATCCTCATGGACCGGTTCGTATTATCATTACGTTAGATCTATATGAAACTCCATCTAATTCGTCGCTTTTGAATACGTTTCTTATTACCCATAACACCCCAATCAATATCAACAGCAAAATGCTCGATCGAAATAAAAATAATTCGATCGTTTGAAACAGACATCCCGGACTTGGACGAGTGTATCTTACGACAGACCGCCACCAGAGATGTCGTATCCACTACCTCCTGTGGCACCATTGCCTTGTCAAAGGTTCCTCTTAATTACAAAATCTGGCCGACGCATCCAATTAGACCCGATCGTTAGCAGACTGAGCATCCTAATATTACGAAATATGACTGGTAATAACATAATCTCGAGTGATATTTGCCCTAAAAGTAAAAAACATAGCACCAAAAAAATTATGGAGTCTTCCATCCTCACATCTCAGCTCGAACATTGCATAGACATTGCATAGCTGTCATAATTAACTCTTATTCGAATGGTAATAAATAGTGTATCCCAAAAGGACACGTGATGTAAACAATAAACGGACAAAACTTTTTATTTTGATTGTTGTGCATTATGTTTCATCCTGAACTTCGAATTAAGGAAGTTCGAAGAGGCTTCGGCCAATGAAATTCAAAATCTCAAGACTCGTATTCAGTCTTGAGGCCTAATCAACGGCTTTTACGTTTATTATATTTAATTATTTTTGAAAATTTTTTTTTTGAAATTTTTTACGTAAATAACACGCGAGTTGCTCCGTTTAATACAAATGAATTATATACATACTGTACGTTCTTATAAGACCGTTGGTTTTTTATAAAATTGGCCGAGAAGCGATATAACTGGGTCTGGATATAAACAGAGCATAATAGTAATAAACGTTCGATTGCTGTCATTAATTGCGCGCAAAATCACGAGATCTGAGCCTCCAACCTGCATAAGACCGAACGCCATTATGTCACTTATTCTTCGAACTTCGAACACGTTCATTCAAATCATCAAAGTATCCATTCTTAACGGGTTGACACTTGCTCTCTTTCTTAATTCGTAGCAAGATATCTTTCCGTCATGATAGACGAAATACAAGTTATAATGAATAAGAGATTTGTCAGAAACCTTGTCATGCTTACTGACAAACATTCCTTAAATTGAAACCATAAATTAGTAATGTATTTGTGCGTTACATAAAAGAGATTTGTAAATATTTACCCAACAGAGGCATCGTTGAACGTGATGCAGGAAGGCGTTTCTCAACACGAAAAGAATACTTCTCATTTCCATTCCCATCATGCGATCTATCACGTATTGAAGTGTCAATAATAAGCAATTGCCAATATGCTTCGCCATTTTATGAAAACGTACTTGAGAATTCTGACTAGTGCGACTTTCCCGTTTTTACTAGCAACTACGGCGAGCGATAGATCAGGTATCCACTGTAGGGAGAAAAATTTTGGGTCAACGCGTTGTAGCTTAAAATCATGCCGAGCGCTTGTTACCCTCACCTCAGTTATATTCACTGAATCAGAAATATTATGCCCCAACGGGATACGAGAATCCATGTGGATAACACGCTTCTCACAGCATAGCTGAGCTAGGCGTTTCTTAGGATCCAGAAGGTACAAGTCATACAAAGTACCAAAGAGAACAAAATCCGTCGGAAGATTATCTGTATTTGATGTATAGGATGTCTGTGGTATAGTATCAGAAAAATCCAAAAGAGGTCTGCGAATCCCATCATGAATATCAAACGAAGCAGATGGACGAAAAGAATAGTTTTCATCAAGAATATCAAACGGAGTAGACGGAATATTACGAGGTCTGTCGCTTTCATTACGAGCATTAAACGAAGCAGTCGGAGACGGCCTAACCCCTAAATTGTATCGTATCAGAGTTATAGTCGTTCCGTCAACAGTGATGGATGCGGGTAAAGTAGGCAAAGCTCTTTCTTGAGGAACTGTTCCGTTAATATTATTGTTATCATTGTTGTTGCTATTATTATTAATGGTATCAGAATAATCATTCAAACGAATGGTTGTTTGCTCCGTACTCGGAGATTGTGATTGAGCATCATTATCAACTGCTGCCTGATTGCTATTTTCGCTACTCTCTCTATTCTCTTCGAGCAAATCTGCATCATCATCGGAGTCTAGCATATGAGTAGCTATAGACTCGTCATCTGAGATAGAAAGTGACTCTATGTCAAAAAGGGAATCATTTTCGTCGTAATAACCATCGGAGAACTCGGTATCCTCATGTCCGGTGCGCACTCCTTCAGATAATGGACTTTCACTATCTCCATCGCCTATATCAAAACTGCCAAGTTCGTGTGAAGACGCCGAGTCAGTGTCATCAGAGATGTGACTTCTGCGCTGCAGATTCGTTTCATGGTTCGCGTTTGCCTGTATAGTCGGAACACGATTTGATGTAGTCTGACGACCAGACGTGGATGTCGTTCGAGTAATGCTTTCAAATGATGAAGGAGACACAAAGCAGACCGTCCATCCCCTAAGCAAGTCGGGAGATCATATAAACGTAAGGTACTTGAGAGACCATTTTATCAACAATTGTTAAAAACTTACCAAAAGCCACCGACAGTTCGCGTCAAAAGAAGTTCCCCGGTATGAACATTCCATACGCGACATGTGCGATCTATGCTGCATGATACAAGAAACGTCCCGCAAGGACTGAAGGATATATTCGGTATGTTGTGCAAGTGTCCACTTAGTATGGTTCTATCCCTCTGGGCCGGTTCACGCTTATCTTCAAATCGACGCACCACATCAGCATATTTTGCCGGAGACTCGCCCGTCCCTGACGGGCGAGATTTGGGATTGTCCCCAGTAGAAAGCAATCCATTTCTAAAGTTGAATATGGTAATTTCTTCAAAGTAATAGTTAGAACTCATGATACATGCATATAATTACAAAGATTTGAGATGAAGAAATAAGAAAGCAACCACGTGAATTCGCACTAACTGCTAATAATCGAGAAGGCCCGTGCATTGCTATTCCCCATGTGGACTCATTGTTGCTTTGAAAAGTAAGAGCCATGCAATCAATATGACCCTACTCCAAGTGCAGCAAACGATAGACGAATGGCTCGTATACTTACGTCAAACATATAGGATTACGGTCAAGAGCTGATGTAAACCAGACACGTATGTCACCTCTTGATCCAACACTCGCAAGAACCTCTTCAGTACCAAGCTTTCCGACTTTAATCGCGTTGATCTCCTTTGTCTGAGAAATAAGTTGAGTATTAAAAAAGCTAACAAACGGGCCAATACTTGAAAATCTTACAGAAAAGCCATCGTATGCAGGTCCCAACGTTTCGTGCGGAGGATGTAAGAGTTTCATTATCGGATCAAGCGTTTTATCACTTCTTGAGTTTAAGCGATAAACGTGAATCTCGTCATAAATGGCAGCAAAGAACACAGAGGGGTCTGTTTCGGATACTGCCAAGAGGTTCATTCTCTACAAAACAGAAACTGTCAGCTTTATTTCGTCGTCTGATTCATACGGCTTGTCTTCTGAATGCAATACTTGCCCCAAATTTGCACCCATTAACTGTGATATCGTGCTTTTCAAATACCATATGCACCTATTAAAATAATATAGCATAATAATAGTAATGGTCTCTTTGATGTATTTTTTTCAAATTCTTTCGAATTACCTCAATGGAGTGATAATCCATAATGTCGCTTTTTCGGTGGAGGGAAAGACAAAAGTTAAGTAATGGGCATGATCATATTAATATTTAATGTGTAAATAGCCAGTAATTTGCGCCACGTGATTTTCAGCCACATAATTCACGGGATGATATGGGGCAGACTGTGTCGTGACGTTACACGTGGGAGAGCGATCGTGTAACCTCCTTTTCCAACGGTCGTATCGGCAACGCCTACTAATGCTAACTCTTCTAAACAGTTAGTGACCTTTGAACAGGCTTTGAATACTTACGAAAGATTCGTATCGTATACGCTGATCCGTAGATATTTATTTAACAATCGACGATTATGATCCGATGGGATTAATTTCGGAAATCTATCGTTTGGGAAAGGTTTTCTAAAGTAACGCGTTTGTAGACAATTAAATAAATATCCTGTATAAACCGATAGTATGCAAACCTAGGGGCAAGACTAAGTTCGCAACTGAGAGTCCGGATAGCGGTTTTTCGCTACTCTCAGGATCGATGAATTCAATAGAACCACAGGATTTAAACTGACCACACGAATGATTTAAAATCACTAGTCAGAGTTTTATTAGAATATAAAGAACTATTCTAAGGACCGTTTGTATATATTATGTCAATTTGTTCGTGAACAGGTGGATCAATATCCATGGTCCAGCTTACCTTGTCTTCATGTTTATTATGCTGGTATGTTGTGTATATTAATATGAGTTTATATGAACACATATTATTATTATTGTACTAACCAGCTGATATATTGTTTTAGGTCCATACATTGGATTTGCTGGTTCAGTGTCCTCGCATAAGGTGCTCATGGATCCCTTGACTGTTATTTTGCCTCTTGAATGTCATGATTATGATGTTGAAATGAAGATCACAGCTGCTCGTTTCTTTCATGCATTCAAGATTGCTGTACAAGAACTAAAGGAATACTATGAGAAGATACTTCCACGAGCTCATGAACATAATCTCTGTAATTCTAAGTTTCCTTACATTAACAGCTATTATGATGAATGGGAAAAAAGGAATGTTTCCTTTACATGGTTTGAACAGTATGAAGATAAGCTTATCTTTGCTGAGAAGGAAGAGAATAAGGATACTATATGTATCAAATTACCTGAACCTACTCTGTAGAAGCACACAAATGGTGTTCAAACAATGGCATGGCACCTGAGCTGTATGCTTGTCAGCATCTTCCAGGTGGATGGCTCATGGTAGTTATGGATATAATTGACCCTGATACATACCTTCCTTATAATCTACGAAACAGTAATGACTTTAAAGAACACTTTCCACCCTCAGAACAAGTTAAATCTCAGATTACGAATATAATCACTACACTTCATTCTCAAGACCTGGTTCATGGTGATGTACATGACAGTAACATATTGGTTAGTAAGGATGATGGAATTATGCTTATTGACTTTGACTGGTCAGGCAAGGAAGGAGAGGTACAATACCCTATGAACATCAACTGTATTGGTGTGAAACGACCAGATGGAGCAATTGATGGGGAGTTAATCATAAAGCAGCATGATCTTGAGATGATAGAGATTATGTTTGATGAAACTGTTACTAGATGATAGTTTACATGAGGTATTAGGTTTCATTACAACAAGCAAGAAACATTGCATATAGCTTATTTGCTAAGTAAACAAACACATGTCAATTCGAGCCTATTACTATGGTGTTATGAACTAACAAAGAATTGGTTTATCCAAATGCCTTGATTTAACTCACATGATTATGAGCACAGGTTACTTACATTACGTGTGAAAGCAATAAAATGTATATATAGGATTAACCGTATATGAATAATGATAATTATAACGATTCAACTGAATATGAAAAAAGCATTACGTTTCTTGGAGAGAGGTTGCAATTGCGGTTGCTCAAAAATGATTCCGAGAGAAAAGTTTGCCGAATTACGTGAGGCGTTTCAAGCCCTCTCTAGATTCGAGCAAGACATATTTTTAATGGCCCAACTGAGAGCAATGAATGGTGGAGAAATAACTGCTAGTCGACGTCTTAAAAAGAAAACACGTACTAATAAGCGAACATTTTATTACTGAGATCGCAATACGCCGGAATCGGTCGCACTCACTTCGAAAATGTCAGAAGTCACCTAGCAACGAACGGTATAATACCGCGTGTTCATGGTAATATCAAACGAATGCCGCGATGGAAAACCAAAATAACCATTGATATAACTGTTGCTACTGCCGTGAAGAATTTTCTCGAAAACTATGCCGAAATTCATGGATTACCAAGTCCGGGTAGA